GAAGGCGAAAAGCTCGTCGAGCTCACCGTGGGCAGGAACAAGAGTTGTAGGCATAGCGCTGGATTTAAATATCGATTGGAGAATATGAAAAGAATGGATTGAACTAAATAATGATTTGCTTATTACAGGCTACACCTTAATCACTTTAAATAGAAGTCAATCAAGAACATGTAGAAAAGACGCAGAACAAACACTCCATGTCCATACTTCTTAGGCTCATTTAAACGCATTAATTAATCGAGATCAGAATCCAAAACCCAATGTAACTCCAATCCGAAATAGCAATTACAATCCAAAACTTTTATCCTTCCAGAGGAGTTCTTCATATAAACAACACAATCCAAAAATTTCCTTTCTTTTGACCCGAACAAATAATTATTCTTTCAAGATAGTAATTCAAATTTAAATCAACAATTACATCAATTTCAAGTAACATTACTAATTACACCAATTGAAAATAGAAAAAAAGGACAAAAATATACCTTTTTTTAGAGATGAAAGGAACGTGATTTTGCCCGGCCTTGTTGTATAAAGCCCAGCTCTACCACAATCGTGTCCTCCATATACGTAAGTCTTTTATGCGAGTTGTTGTCCCTTACCAAATCTTCTTTTCCTCGACTTGCCGTCGTGTTCGATGTAATCGGCAACAGTGGATTTTTTCTGGGAAAAAAACTCGTCAGCTGCAGCTCCATTTCTTCCATCGGCGACTCTTGAAAATCCTCTGCACGCAAACAGGCCCGACCAGGCATCGTCGCTGAATAGAATGGCCAAATCGGACCCTCCTCTTGGAGCCCTGCTCATGGTCAAAAACACATAAGAAATAGAATTTTAGATAGTAAAATTTGGATCTGAATTTGTGTGATATAAAATAAGACCTGCATGTTGCATACTGATACACACGTTCATTCTGCTTTCTTCTTATCAGTTTACTCTATTGACTTATCTTTGTCAGTCACTAATTAAGATTATGATGTACGAATATTATGGCTTTAGGTTGAAGCTATGCTGGCCAAGGAAAATTTTACACTGGAAGAGCTTTTGGATGAAGAAGAAATCATTCAAGAATGCAGAGCATTAAACAGTCGCCTTATAAACTTGTACTCCTTGCTTAAACACTTGTCTCATTTGACATTTCTGAAGTGTATTCACTTCTAGTTTCATCCAGATAGATACTTCCATTTATTCTAGTGACATGTGTGCATGTATCTTGGTCCTCGTAGCATTTGATAAACAAAAAAGCGGTGATGATCTACCTTAGGAGGTTTTATCCCTTGGCCTTGCTCAGGGCAGTGAACCTGAAATTTAGAAAACCAAACAGATGATATCAAATGAATAGACACAATGCCAGAGTTACACATTAAGGAGAAATTTACTTCCAACCCTCCAAGTTTTTTATTACCTTATCATATATCCAATTTTCTTGAACCAGAGCGACGTGGTTTTCTAATAACTTATGATGGACCATGTGATGCACTCGCTAAACCCACTGCCAACATCTTCTCAATCACTGAAGGGAAAAACAGTAAACGCTTAGAATCAAAATCATAAAACGAAAATACATTTAGAATCACAAACTTACCTAGGCAGCGCTGGGAAATTCATGCCAGTGTTGATAAGAAACTTCACCAGAGTCGGGTACGTGACGACGGTGAAGACGAAAAGCTCGTCGAGCTCACCGTGGGCAGGAACAAGAGCTGTAGGCATAGCGCTGGATTTAAATATCGATTGGAGAATATGAAAAGAATGGATTGAACTAATAATGATTTGCTTATTACAGGCTACACCTTAATCACTTTAAATAGAAGTCAATCAAGAACATGTAGAAAAGACGCAGAACAAACACTCCAAGTCCATACTTCTTAGGCT